TGTTGGGTCCTTGACGAACTGCGCTCATGGGTTTTGTTTTGCCATGTGAATTTGATACTATTTTTCCCTGCTAGATTGGATTTCGGTCCCCATCGAAACCCTTTCCCATAGAATGCTTATTTTCCATAGGCAAAAGGTAGCTGGTCATATTCGAAAGGTGCGTAACTGTCGCATACACGACCGAAAGCCCTTGACCATCATATTTCACTTGTATCCGTTCGCCAGAGTGATGAAATCATTTATTTCGCGTATCTCGTAAATGTATCTCGGTCAAAAACTATTAATAGTATGGTCACCAGCTTTATTCTATCGAAAGCACCTGCAGAACTACAGTAGAAAATTGTATGGTGCATATTCTTGTTTTTCCATTTGATAAGTATTGCAGCACGCGGCTCGTTTGACGATAGCTTAAAAAAATGTATTGAGGTGAATTGTGCAGGGTATAAGCACATGCCAGTAGTCATTATACTCCCCTTCACTACGTAGTTCAAAATTATTTATCCGTTGTACCAGTTATTTTTTCATTTTGTGGATTGAGTTTGCGTGATTGCTTTGTCATTTACTCTTGCACTGGATCCCGTGTTTCCAGGGTGCCGGGAAAACAAATGTTGCCCTATTATGCATTATGCACGAGCTGGGTAAGTTCATAAACCCGGACGGGACGATCAATAAGGATGAATTCAAAGTTATCTACATTGCCCCCATGCGTTCTCTCGTCCAAGAAGTGGTCGGCACTTTTAATCGGGTGAGTCAAACTGGATTTTGTTCACCAGGTATCGCTGAGAAAGCACTCGTAGGATTACTAGCTAATGCATAATAGTTTGGTTCTTTTTGCTTTAGTGATTTGATCACAGGTAATATCGATGGTAAAATATGAGAATGTGAAGTATAGCATTACTTGCTAGCTTGTTCAAGCACAGAAAGCTCATTCAAACTTTTGTACATTTAAGTTTTAAAAAATTCTGTTCAGTCGGAATGATGGGAACTTGTGGGTTATGGTCTCCTTCAGTCGTTGTCTGTTAAATACTCTATGTTCATTTTTCTGTTGGTGGTTGTTCGTGATGTGTTCTTGGGTTTAGCCTGCTAGCACCCTTTTTGCAATTCATCTTGCTACTGTTAATCCCATTCAATTGGTATATTCAGCAGTTCATTATTGCCCATATATTATGGGCATCGGTATTACGCTGTCGACATAGACAGTGAGGGCCATTCATTGATAAACATGAAATCTATCTATTCCTCATTTACCATTCACTTGATTAGCAATAAGTAATATAACTTGGTGTTCTTCCTGCTCTGAGTTTGTGCCGTCACCATTTCGATTCGCCAGTTCCCACTTCGAGCAGCGGATTCCCAACAACTATGTATTGTGGCACTCTACATACCGAATTGTTCACTCATCTGAGTATATTTTTCTTTATTCGTCAACGGTTTTATCCTTACGGTGATGTTTCTCATCTTTGGTATGAAAGCAGCGAAGAAAAGGTAGCAATAATGTGTCTCTCTGTGGCCATCTAACATTTGTGCACCGGAAACAAAAATACTGGACCTTACAAAACGCTGTCCTAAAAAAGAGAAGTATAATCCACTCGTCCTGTTTTTTTTTTAATTTTTCCCCAACACTGGTTTTCACCAAATATTTTTTTTGGGCTTAACATGCATTTAACTCACGTTCATGCGAACAAAAACGACACCAAACATCAGCGTTTGAGCAGCTACGGGATCAAGGTGGATGAATTGACCGGAGATCATCAGCTTAGTCGCGAACAGATCTATGAGACACAGGTGATCGTATGCACTCCGGAAAAATGGGACGTGGTCACACGACGGGGCGGCGATGAGAGGGCATATATCACCCTGGTCCGCTTAATCATATTCGATGAAATCCATCTGTTACACGATGATCGTGGTCCTATTCTCGAGGCAATTGTTGCACGCACGTTGCGTGCGGTCGAATCGACCGCTGCAGCCGGTGGCGCGGGATCAAATGAAATTGGGGGCGGTGCCGGCGTCCGGTTGGTCGGTCTCAGTGCCACATTACCCAACTTTGAAGATGTGGCCACATTCTTGCGCGTGGATTGTGCGAAGGGCTTGTTCTACTTTGACAACAGGTGAGTGAGCTATTCTACTCGTCTTCCCCTCCTGTACAAATTATTTTCGAATTTTGTCTCAACGCGCTGTTGTATCACAGCAGAATCTCATGTTATCTGGCATGCCATTTTTATTGTTAAGTACCGGAACGTGACAAAAACCTTAGCTTGAATGGGGTTCCCGTTGTTTCGGGGTATTAATGCATTGCGATACATAGGTAAGCCTGAAAATTTAGCACTTAAATTATGTTCAAGTAGCTATTAAGTCTGTACTTTTGTGATCTGCCTTTGTGGGTTCTTCTAATGTGTAGAATCATGGAAGGCCAAAGCCTCACCTGTGTAAATACCACCCTTCGGCCTGGAAGCCTCGCAGGGTTCGTCACTCCAGCTTTCGGCGTAGTCGCCACTTTTCACTCATTCGACATGGAAGATACACACTTGAGAAACATTTCTTACTTGCATTCAATCACCCAGGTTGCCTTGCCTGCTATTCGTGATATTATTCAAAATATTTCTTCTGTTCACCACTGCCTTCGTTCTACCTCTCCTCTTATTCCATTTTTACCTCGATTAAACGTACACCGACCTACTATTCCCTGATTATCGCACCCATCACCCTTTACCCTTTGAGATGGTTTTATGCATTTATCTATAAACACGTTACCGGGCGACGCCTACTCCATTTCGACATATACGACTTGTGAGTTTCAGCTCAGTTGGTTTTAACTCCAACCATTATTAATGAACTATGATCTTCCAACAGTACTTCCCTTTCGACTGTTTGATCGAGGCTTTGGAGTACATCGTAGTAGGTGGTTCTAGCACCGAATTTTTTGTTGTTAAATCCTTCACGAGGAGATTGCACCTTATGTGGTCTGACCGCTTGTTTGCCTCTGTGACTCTGTGAGCTTTACATGATGGCTTCTCGTAGATGAATGAGCAGACGCTAGAAAAAGCTCTTTCACAGCTCCAGTTGACTGGGTAGCCGGCTGCCGCCCGTCCAAGCTGGACCAGCCCCAGCCAATGAGATACTGTCCCTTAAACGTTCCACTCGCTTCATTGGGTGCACGAGGCCAAGGGTTGATTGCAAACCGTGGGTCTGCGGATAACACCCTGAACCCGAACCAGAAGATCTGGCGTGNACACCCCGACTATCTCGTGGGTCAGTCAAAGGCTCCGGCCTGTCAAGAAGACAAAAATCTTTTTGAACATCAGCTTGTTTATATGCGATATCAAAGTCAACTTATAAAAATCCACCAAATATTCCAGAGATTTCATAGAATGTGCTGGAATCTCCGAGTAGTCATGTAAGTTTTATTTTTAGTCTCTGTCCTGGTTTGTTCCAATATCAGTTATCGCGCATATTTCCTTTAGCTCTCTAGGTCAAGCCATGTATGCATAGCGGGCACATTTTCCCCATGAGATGTGACACAATTGTGCGTCCTCCAATGCACCTCTCGCGTTCATGTTGGGTTCTGATTTTAGGTCAGCGTTTGAAGAGCTAAAACTGGAATTTTGAAGCGTGATTTCGCTAGACATAACGCGCTCAGGTTTCCCAAAGTAATCCACCTCCGTCGNTCAAATTATCCAAACACTTCCGCCTGACTATATCGTACCCAGTAATACTGATTGCTGCCACAGAGTGTGCCGCCTCATTAGGAAAATCAACTCTTTGGTTTTGTTCTTCCTGGCATTCTCGAATCATACGGGATGCTTGTTTCTGCCACTCTTAGGACATCACTCCATGTTTAACTAATAAGGTCATCCAGTCACTAACTGTTGGATTGATGAAATCAAAATATCCTCTGGACGAATTTCTGGCGCTATGCTTCTGCTAGTTAAAGTTCAATGTGTGAATTTCTGGGGTCTTAGTCTTGGTTTGACTGTTGCTTTTCTATTACGCAAGCCTTTGACGTCTTTGATTTCTTTCCGGAACTTATTCACTTCCGGCCCCTCATTTCTCGAAAGATGTTACGCTGTGGGGCGTTGACACCATTTGCTAACCCGACCTACTCGTGACAGCTATTTCCGGACCTGAAGCAAAGGTTAAATCGCAACCCAAAAGTTGGTACTCTAAGTAACACTCCACTTGGTGGCTGTTCATTTCGGTTTCTTTCGGAAGTCATTTGTTACTTCTGTTCATCCATGTTCTCTCTATTTCCAAACATCAACCATTTCCGTTTACAATCCACTTGAGGTAGTAAATCTTATTTTTGCTTCCAATCGCATTTTCTCTGTTATTCCTTTTCCCGAATATGAGGTCCAGAAATGCTTGCCAAGTGTTCATCGTTCTAAACAAGTTCAAACGTACTAACCCGGATGGCATCCTGCATATTACATCAAAACATGCTCGTATTCTACATCTGTTCAACACTTGTCCGCTAGACTGTTGCACATCTGCTCAATACCTAGGCGTAGTGACCTCAATCATCACGACGAGACTGCACCTTGACATGGTGTGAAAGCTTGCGTGCCTCCATGACCGTGCGAGCTACATAGGATGGCTTTTTCACAGCCGCAGATTCAATCATGCCTGAAAGGTCAACGAGTAGAGGCTAGGCAAAACTCAATCTCACAAGGTCATGCACTTGGGTACCTCTTGGCTTCCCTTGACTGTCCACGCTCGTCCCTGGAGATTTCACTCCAGCAAATAAACACCGTGATGGGCAGTTTACCGGTCAAAACAAACTCCGCTGGATGGACGTAGGAGCGGAGTGCCTGGGGCTTCCTCTTGACGGTAAGAGAGGTCTCCGCACTTCATTGGACCGGTACCGCCCGCCCAAGCTGAGCGGCCCCAGCCAATAAGATGCTATCTCGTCCACGTTCCGCTTGTTTCATTGAATGCATGAGACTTGGGCTAATTCCAAACAGCGGACAGACAATCAACGCACCAGCAAACAATACAGTGAACAAAAACCGGAAGGCCTTGCGTGTCAGGTCTCCAGAAGCTTCACATGGTACCTCGGTCACGCTCCCGCGTTCGATCTACGTCCCACTGACCTGTGGGTCAGAATTTTGAGTCAAGAGCTTCGATCAGGATTCTCAGAGAAAAAATACCTTCGTTGATGTGAGCTAGCGCGAAGTACGCCTTACCCATTTGGTAAACCCTCTTTCCCATCCGTCTAGTTCTTCCTCTCAATCTCAGAAGATGCCTCTTGTTTGCGCCACCAGTAGTGATCACTCAGCGTTTTACCAGTAAGGTCAATCGATCAAAACTTATAGGATTTTTGAAGCCGAAGTTTCCTTTTCACTTAATCGATTTCAATGTCCGCGCACGCCATCAGATCGACCAACTAGCTGCTTTATTTAAAACTATTTAAAGCATTCCTCCGAAACACGCATACAATACCCCACCTCAATCATCCCCCTACGTTTTCCTAACCCAACCTCAAGCGATTCTGAATCCGATGCTCGCGGTGTTGCTGGTTTTGGGATTGCGCTAAATGCCAAGGCTGAGCGCTCGCTTCTTGACTGGTTTCCAGTCAGTAGCCGATTATGTGCTGTACGTCTCAACGTTTCAGTATAGGTGAACATTTGCAGAACGAAGCGTCGATGCTCATTCGCCATATGGGCTAATTGCAGTACACCTGAAATCAAGGATGAATTCTACAAGGATTTTTCCCAATTACTCCGAAGTGTTCGATTGACAAACGTCAGAGATTTCGATGCTCAGGTGGAATCCCTCGACGAATCAGAAAGGCTTCTCGACAGACTACTTGCAGTCCCAACCAACCGGACGGACAACAAAGATCGCCTTCAGTTACGCGTAAATCACGGATTTTTCCTGTCAAACACGAACCTCTCGTGCAAGAAGCGACACCGTCTTACTTGGAAACCGCCAACCTATTCGCAGCGTTTGACCCGAATCACCATCAGTTCCTGCTGGAGGGGATCAATTCAAGACTGCCACTCTCACTGGTCAATGTGGATACGGACCACGTTTTGTTACTAGCTGAATTCTGCTGAAACCTGAAAGACAACCGCAGTAAAGCCACCGGCAACGTATACTTACAATATTATGTTAGCGATAGTTGCAAATGGGTCTTCAAAGCAGAGCTCTGTGATCGCCTATCGGTTCCATCACCAGCCGAAGAACCTAATGAACACTGGAAGCAAATCAAGGACGCAATGCAAATATCGATACAAACGACGGATCTCGTTGACCTCGGCTCTCTTGCTGGACGCACTCAAAACCCTTTTGATGCCGCACATGAGACAGTGCGCAAATCCCTGAAATGCCAGTTCTTTAAGAGTCTGAGGGCTGAGTGGCGGGTAGGAAAGTGTAGAGCGATGAAGAAAGCTGCGGTAATTGGTATTAGTCCTTTTCCGTGTAATTAGGATGCGGCCCTAAAAAGTAGATGAAAGTGAGGTAATTAAGAGACCCGATTTTACACTGATTCGTCATCAGCAACGCCGTCTTGATCGATGAACTGAACATTTCTAGGCTCAGTTGAACTGGCCCCGATCAACATCTGACCCATCATCCCCTCCCATCTCGACTGACCAGATACTCCCAGTTGATGTTAGTCCTCTTTCTAAAACGAAGTTTCCCGGTAAAAAGGTATTATCTCAAAAGGCATAAGGCCTCCGATCCAGATGGGCTGTTCCCATCGGTTTTTAAGGTTGAAGGTTCAGCGTTAGTCTTGGAGTTGACAAAACTCCCGGCTCAGTATTGGGAAGGAAGCAGGTTCCATCTGAATAGTGTAAATCAGTCTTCTTACCGATTTATGAGAAAGGTGACAGATCCTACTTTGAAAACCACAGAGTAATTAGATTAATCAATATTGTCTCTAAAATTCTCGCTAGAATAATACTCCGTCGATTATCCGCCGCACGTGAAGGGTACACGCGTGAGAACCAGGCTGGTTTTAGACCTGGTCGAGGTTGTATCGACCACATTTTCACTGTTCGCCAACTTCTGGAGCACCGATTTTCTTTTCGTAGACCCACCATCTCTGCCTTCCTCGATCTGAAAACGACCTGCTGCTCAGTCGATCGTTTCATTTCTCTGAAAGGTGTGCCCTAGGAGTTTATTTTAATAGTGCGATCCCCTTATACTAATAGCCGAAGCCAATTCCTTACGCACGACACTTTCGGTGGAGTTCACTAGATCAAGTGATTTTCGTTAGAGTTGCTCTCTCTCTCCTCTTCTATTTAACTTTGTTATATATTTAATTATCGTGCGAGGAAGGCGGCATTGATTTGTTTCTGGGTGATAGGCTATCTAATCCGGAGTATGCATATGACTGTACTGCTAAGGTAAGGTACAATCTTTTATGGATAGCTTGAGTGCTATGTTCGGTATGCGTTTTGCACAAGACTGGATCGGTTCGGCACCTAGCCTCATTCTAACCAGGGAAGTTACAGACCAAGTGGACAAGTTTTGTTATTTAGGTAGTTATATCTCACCCGGTAGACGCATCAAGGATGAGGTGTCAGCTCGCATACAGGAGGCTCGATTGGCGTTTGCCAAATTGGAACATCTGTGGCGCTGTTACGACATCAGGCTGTCTGTGAACGGCCGAGTGTATGCTGCAGCAGTTCGGCCAGTTCTGCTATATGGAGCATAAACTTGGTCATTAAGAAAACAGGATAAAGATAGACTGTCAGTGTTTGACCATTGCTGTCTACGCAGCATTGCACGAATCTGGTGGGGCAGCCGGACGAGCAATACTGAGGTCAGGCGCGAAGTTTTAGGCAACCGCGGTCGCCCACTGGAGCAAGTGGTCAACCTCTATATATTAGGTTGGTTGGGGCATGTGTTATGCATGTCACCAGACAGGTTGCCACGGTGATCGATGTTTTCCGAGGCAGGTAGTGGGTGGAAAAAAGCCAAGGGTGGTGAAGCTAACACGTGGCCCGAGGGTATGAAATCTCTAACCAGGAGTCTGGGTCACATAGGTCCTGTTAGGCTCCCTGGATGTGGACCTCAGGATGATTGTAATCGATGGTTAGAGACAATGAATGATATGAACGACTGTCTTGAACAATAATGTTCGTGGATCTTCTGAATTTTTACGCAACATTGATCCATCGAAATTCTCCATTTTCTGTTGACTATACTTTCAGCTTTCCTGTTTTTCTCCTACTGTTCATTGAAACGGTCAACCAAAATCGGCGCACGAAATCCGGAACCGTTTTCTTATGTAGCTATGAGCGATTAGTTGCTAATGTTTTTCTGTAGAAATGTATCAACCACATCTTCACTGTCCACCAAACCTTTCGTAGGCCTACTGTGGTGAGCTCGAATGATTAAGCGACGAATGAGAGAGGGAAAACGGACAGCCGGAAATGAGACTTTAATCTTCTAACAATGTAGGTGTATCAGCTACAATAGAAAGATAGAAAATCTACATTATCAGTAAACGGTGACGCAGTGATATAAAGATCGAAGGTATAACAAAATCACATTCTTCCGCGCTGAGTGAAATGTCCGTGAATCAGTGCGTTTTTCAAACCGCCCTACTTTGAAGGTTGTATGGGTGAACACGCTGCTGGTCTCTTATGAGCTGTTGAATGTGATCCGTATCATCAGACTAGATTTCTGATTCTGGAGCTTCATTTTCCAGTTGAACCACCGAAGGTGTGGATTGTTCTTCCATGCGGTGCACATGCTGATCTGTGGTTTCATGAGTGTTTTTCGATGTAGACGCTTTCGGCGCAAGCAGACTCAATGATTCGGTTTCCTCTTTTCCATTCGGAAGAGTATATGAGCATATTGTGGGTTTCAGTTTAGAAGTTCCACTTCTTCCGTTAGGGGATTATACTTTGAAGTTCGATTCATTCTTTTGAGAACTGGCCCCGGAGTCGGTAACCATGTCGGGAGAGATGTACCATTGTTAGACCTACGAATGAATGTTGAAAATCCTGTGAGGCGTTTCGTTGGTGGCAGTGCATAACAGTGAACGGACTGAATGTAAAACGTCCAGTAGAACATGTTCCCAGTGGTTTATATCCATTTGTTGAGATTTCAGTGCCGGAGTACTGGCTCTCCACAGCGTTCCATTTAATCTCTCGATCTTTCCGTTACCCCGTGGGTTGTATGGAGTTGTCCGACTATTTGCCACTCCTTTATTGTGAAGAAAACTTTGCAGTTCATCCGACTTAAAGGCAGTGCCACGATCAGAATGAACATAAGACGATACTCCAAATAAGGAGAATAATTGACTGAAACAGTTAATAACAGTTAAAGATGACATATCAGCGCGAGCAAAAGCGAAAAGAAAACGAAAGTATTTGTCTATCATGGTCAAAATGTATTTGTTGCGGGAGATGGAGGGAATGGGGCTTTTAAAGTCAATGCTGATTCTTTCGAACAGTTTGGTCGCTTTTATTAAGTTTGCAAGAGTACCTTTGAAAAAGCGGGGCTTAAGTTGTGCACATGCTTCACATCCATTTACAACTTTTTTAATATCTTCTATGGAGAAGGGTAAGTTCTTAGAACGAATGAAGTGCTACAAGCATGTAATACGGGGGTAACACAGTGTTATGTAACTGTTTCAGGTCTGTGTGTGACATGGCTGAAATACATCGGTTTCGGGAGAATGTGTGGACGATTGCCATTAAAGGGTATGATGACATTCGAATGTTGACCGAGAATGACTTCTGTGCATAAATCTTTTAAAAGGGAAAGTTTTACCCTATTGTAGTGTGTGTTTTTATATTGAATAGAGGCGTGCACGCGCCCTTGGGTAACACAGGACAGATGGGTGGAAGCCATGGTATGTTTGGATGACTCTACAGGCCATGGATGCCTAGCAGCAATGTTGGTGCACAGATAGCTCTCGCAACCGCCTGTATCGGTTATCGTGTTCAGAGTTATTCCATTGACTTGAATTGCTACCGTGGAATTGGAGAGACCGACGAGCGATGATCCTGCAACAACGGACGAAATGGTTGGATTTAACACAGATAATGTACGTCTGAGATGAGTGTTGGATCGACAAACCTTTTGGAAATGCCCTTTCCACAAGAATTACAAGTGGCCTCTCGAGCTGGACATTTCGAAAGAGGATGTCGATAACTTCCGCTGTTAGAGCATTTGGTGGAAAACACTGCAACTAGGTCTTTGATCTCGGGTTGTGAATCAGAAATTCCAGGACGTTATATTGAAATGGTGGGATCTGTCTGGTTTGTCATGGAACTGCAGGGTACATGTAAGACTGAATCGTAAGGGAGCGACTACTGCTGTGCATTCTCCAAAGTACGAGCCTCGTTAAAAGGACACTGCAAACTTAGGGTTTGCTTTTCAAGAAGCCGCTGGCGAATGTCGTTGGAAAGCAGCCCCGTAATGAAAGCACCACAGATAGCTTCATCGCGATGTCTCTCGGTGGAAACTGCGACGAAGTTACAATCCTTTGCGAGAACTCTGAGTTTCTGTGTACATTTATCAATCGTTTGTCCTTGTTCTTGTTTTGCTGTTGCCAGTAGATGTCGTGAGGACGCTTCGTTCGTTGGTTTAACGTACAGCCTTCAAGGGTTTTGATAGCACCTTCATAATCGGGACAATCGATTATGTGTTGGCAAACGGACGGCGATATGAAATTCACTAGCAACTTTTTCTTATCTTTGTTGGGTAGGTCGACAGTAGATATGAAGTTGCGGAACGTTTCATGCCAGTGAATCCACTGTTCAGAAGCGGATGAACAATGAGGATCGGTGTCAAATCGCTCCGGGCGAAATAAGCGATCCATCGTTGTTGGAAGATTATATTGTGATGAGCTCGAGTGATTGAGGGACCAACGAGAGAGAGCCGGAAATGAGGCTTTAATCTTCTAACAATGTAGGTATATCAGCTACAATAGAAAGATAGAAAATCTACATTATCAGTAAACGGTGATGCAGTGGTATAAAGATCGAAGGTATAACAAAATCACCGCACCCACCATCTCTGTCTTCCTCGATCTGAAAGCGGCTTTCTGTTCAGTAGACCACTGCAAACTCCGGCGCTACTTCCCTGAATTGTGTGCCCGAGAAGTTTATTTCAATATTACGATCTCACTATACTAATAGCCCAAGTCGAATACGAGCTTACAACACTTTTTCGCTCGAGTTCACCACGGAAAGTGGTGTTCTTCAGGTTTGCCCTCTTTCTTTCTTCCTATTTAACTTACGTAGAGATTTAATTACGGAAACAACCCTATCTTCGTGTGAGGATAGTGGCATTAATTTCTCTCAGATGAAAGACTGTCTGACCTGGGGTATGCAGATGACATTGTGCTATTTAACGAGGATCCAGGTAAATTAAAAGCTCTTCTGGATAGCTTGAGTGCTATGTTCGGTATGCGTTTTGCACAAGACTGGATCGGTTCGGCACCTAGCCTCATTCTAACCAGGGAAGTTACAGACCAAGTGGACAAGTTTTGTTATTTAGGTAGTTATATCTCACCCGGTAGACGCATCAAGGATGAGGTGTCAGCTCGCATACAGGAGGCTCGATTGGCGTTTGCCAAATTGGAACATCTGTGGCGCTGTTACGACATCAGGCTGTCTGTGAACGGCCGAGTGTATGCTGCAGCAGTTCGGCCAGTTCTGCTATATGGAGCATAAACTTGGTCATTAAGAAAACAGGATAAAGATAGACTGTCAGTGTTTGACCATTGCTGTCTACGCAGCATTGCACGAATCTGGTGGGGCAGCCGGACGAGCAATACTGAGGTCAGGCGCGAAGTTTTAGGCAACCGCGGTCGCCCACTGGAGCAAGTGGTCAACCTCTATATATTAGGTTGGTTGGGGCATGTGTTATGCATGTCACCAGACAGGTTGCCACGGTGATCGATGTTTTCCGAGGCAGGTAGTGGGTGGAAAAAAGCCAAGGGTGGTGAAGCTAACACGTGGCCCGAGGGTATGAAATCTCTAACCAGGAGTCTGGGTCACATAGGTCCTGTTAGGCTCCCTGGATGTGGACCTCAGGATGATTGTAATCGATGGTTAGAGACAATGAATGATATGAACGACTGTCTTGAACAATAATGTTCGTGGATCTTCTGAATTTTTACGCAACATTGATCCATCGAAATTCTCCATTTTCTGTTGACTATACTTTCAGCTTTCCTGTTTTTCTCCTACTGTTCATTGAAACGGTCAACCAAAATCGGCGCACGAAAGTGCATGGTTAATCGTTGTCCAAACTGAAACTGATAGAAATGCGTGATTTTTCGTTAGATGACAGCGTTGTTGGTTCAGTTATCCTCATCCGTACCTGCTGGTTT